AATATTCACGTGACAGTACTCAAATTTCAAAAATATGAAGTTCCTCCTGCGACCATACCGGATCTGCCGAAAGGCTTGGTAAACGATCGTGTTTTATGACTAAGCGCGTGTGTCTGCCGTGACGTCACAGACACCTAACACCCTCCCAGGCGAAAGTGTTTTGTGTTTGTTTGTTGTTTCGCCGGTGTCGTTTGCGTATATGGAACGCGTGTGTGGGTTTAGCCATATGTATGTAGATAATTTATGTGACCGTTACGATGTGTTTGGATTTTCGTGTTTTAAAATACGCCTTGAATATGCTGCAACGTGTTTTCATACAGATTTTATTTTTTGAAACTACACACGAATAGTGTCTCTTTTATATACATTTTCCATATTTCCCAAGTCTCATCAGCACAATATATTCTTTTCGTCATGGTATATTTCTTTTTTTTTAACAGATAGATACTCCACTACATGTATCTCTAAGGCAGCGGTCCCCTGTGCATGTGTGCACGTCTCTAGGATTGTGTACACATGACGCTCACGCCTACACGTACACGACTTGGGGGGGTAGGGATAAGGGGGGGAGGAGATGGTCGTTTGGGGGGAAAGGGCATGAGGTGGAGGGTGGGGAGGGGGTAGGGGAAGGGGAGGTCAACACATCCGTGCAGTTGGTATGTGGCGAGGCAGCTGCACCGCTTGGGGTCGGCGTAGTTTCCTGACCGCATGGGGGGAGAGACGGGGGGATGGGGATGTTGCGTGCGTGTGTGTTTCTGTGTGTAGGTGTAGGTGTGCGTGAGTGTGTGCGTGTGTCTGCCTGCCTGTTTGTGAGAAAATATTTTCCTTCCTGCCTGCATTTGTCTGACTGTCTATATGTTTCTGTGTCTCTCTATCAAACTGTATATCAATCTATCTATCAGTCTATCCATCTATATGCACATATATAAACATATAGATGTATGTGTGTGTGTGTGTGTATGTGTGTGTATCAGTCTATCTTTATGTCTATCTATCTATATGTCTGCGTGTCAGTGTGCCTTTTATTCGTATTGCCGAGGTCCCTCCCACACGTGACCGAGAAAGAACTGCAACGGCAAAGGTTGACGATAATGATGAAAGCAACAATCAACATCGAATTTCTGAGCTGCAACGTGACACCGAAGATAAACAACGCAATGGGATTGTGGGGGAGGAGTGTGTGAAAACGGGGAGGAAGGGAGGGACGGAGAAGGGACGCAGAGGGAGAAACACGTCAAGAGAAAGAGAGAGAGAGGAAGGGAAGGAGGGAAGGAGGGAGAGAGAGAGAGAGAGAGAGAGAGAGAGAGAGAGAGAGAGAGAGAGAGAGAGAGAGAGAGAGAGAGAGAGAGAGAGAGAGAGAGAGAGAGAGAGAGAGAGAGAGAGAGAGAGAGAGAGAGAGAGAGAGAGTGAGAGAGAGAGAGAGAGAGAGAGAGAGAGAGAGAGGAAGGGAGAGAGGGAGGGAAAGGGGATTATAAAAGGGAGAATGTAAAGTCCAAGAGAATACAGCAACGAAATAGAAAATAGTGACAGAGAAGCAAATGCAGAAAATGACAGGAAATGGTGATATCAAACAAGAAAATAAGAAAAGAGACAAAAACTCAGCGAGACGGAGACGGAGAAAGAAAAAGAACGAACGGTGTAATAGAGACATAAAAATAATGAGACACGATAAACAGGAATAAAGACAGACAGTGAGAACCCATAAAAAGAGAGCAAGAAATATGTAAACACAGAAGGAATAGAACAAGCAAATAAGATAAGGCAAATGGTAATAACTATTCAAAATAGAACATAAAATTTGTCGCATGCTGTGTAGAAAACGAACCTCTTGTCATTTTAACAAACATAGAAGTAAAACAAAAACAAAAATCGAGTAAATATTATTAACAAGAACATAAAGTTAGTCAAATCCAGTACAGAAAACGCCTTCTTGAGCAAAAGTAAAACAAACGAAAAATAAAACAATTATTATCAACAATCCAAAAAGAACATAAAGTTTGGCAAATACTGTGTAGAAAACGACTCCCTTATTGTCACGTTTGCACTTGCAAGAAGCGGACAAACACTCAAGCAATTAAACAAACAAAAACCACGTGGGGACCAGCGTGAGACACTCCCGCAGACGAGACTAAGTTATCACTCTCGAAGTGGACGCTGTTGTGATGCCGAGGGAAAGGCATGGGGAGAAAGGGAAGAGGGGAAAGGGAAGAGAGGGAGGGTTGGGGGGAAAGGGAAGAGAGGGAGGGTTGAGGGGAAAGGCATGGGAAGAGAGAGAAGAGGGGAAAGGGAACAGAGGGATGGTTGAGGGGAAAAGGATGGGGAGAAAGGGAAGAGGGGAAAGGGAAGAGAGGGAGGGTTGGGGGGAAAGGAAAGAGAGGGATGGTTGAGGGGAAAGGCATGGGGAGAAAGGGAAGAGGGGAAAGGGGACAGAGGGATGGTTGGGGGGAGAGGGATGAGGAGAGAGAGAAGAGGGGAAAGGGAAGAGAGGAATGGTTGAGGG